AAATAAATAAATACCATGTGGTTTCATTCCCATTGAAATACATTTTTGAAATCGACAGTATTGACATTGAGTTCGTGAACGTTTTGTTATTGAACAAGAAAAATCTTTTTGACATTTATATTTTTTATTTCCATCACCTGTTGAAATTGAACGAAGAAAAAATTTCTAAATGAAACAAAATTAATTATTGAGACTGTATCAAACAATTCATTTCGAAATTTACCTTGCAGGCTTCACATGTTATGGCTCTAAAAATAAAGAATAAAGAATAAATCGATGAAAATAAGAAAATTTTACCCGCAATGCCATCCTGATGCTAAATCTCCACATATTTGACAATTTTCATCTTCATTTAAATTACATGATAAAAGATTTGACGAATTGTTAGTTGTTTCCTTATATTTAGTATTTTGAATATTTATTTGTTGATGTTGATTAAATGGATGTAAATATTGAAAACGATAATCATTAAAATGATTCGAATGTGATTGTGTAGTTCTCACTGTTGACATGATTTCATGAGAAGAGTCTAAACATAAAATGAAATTATTTTTTGCTAATAAATTCTATAACTGAATCTTTTTAATACGCAAACAAACAAAGATATTATATTTTATTATTGATACGATTATTCTAGAATCAGCTGTTATAACCAATAAATTATGATACGTATCAATTGACCTCTAAACGGTCAAACTTATATGCTACAATTTTAAAGCAAGCGCAACTTTCATTGTTTAATCTCATACAAAACATATAAACAGATGATGTTAAGATATTTAAAACAACATTCATTTTATTGTTCTTTTTACTACTTTAAAATTGAATATATTCTTTGAAAACTCTTCCGGCTAGCCACTTTACATTGATTTATACATATATCTGTTAGCTAGATCTGTGCATGATTATATAGAAAAATGACTTCTGTCATCATTAAAAGACAAACAAATTTTTTTGCCTTTGATGCATATTTTGTTATGGTTTAAAATCCATGTCATTCACTCAACAAACTTATCAGAATTTTAGAACATCGGTTTATTTATTCTATGATTAAAGAACAATATATATTATAAACATCCAAAATAAATATATTTCTTAAATTGAAGAAAAGAGAAAGACTACGTAATGATATTTAATATAATAAATCAATAGATTATAACGAATAATTAGACTTACGATGATATTCTTCTTCATCTTGATTTGAACTTTCGTCTTGTTCATCATCATTGATTATCATCAATGAAGAATGATTATTCTTAAAAGTATTAGTATCTAATAATGTTGATGAAGATGTTGCTGCTGTATTATCTTCATTAAATTCTTGATGATTACGATTGAAACCAAACGATGAGGGAAGAAACATTGCTATGAAATGACTTGTAATGTTGGTTTGTTTTTAAAGAAATGAACAAGGAAATGTGCAACTTACTCAGAGCTACTATGACGGTCAATGTAAAGATATTTATTTAAAGCAGAAGGGAGAGAAATTTTTTTTTTTTGTTTGAACTTTTCATTTGAAAGATACTTGCTATTATTTCTATTGCTGTTGGTGTGAGAACTTGTTAGAAAAGTCAATAGTAGAAGAAAAAAAGAAAAGCAAATAGAACAAATCGATTAGAAACTATATTTATACTAGTCGATAAAGATAAAAGAAACTTAGAAATATTGCTCAGGTGTATTAATTTGTAGTTGACAGAAAAAAAAATATTCTATCTTTCATAAACATGTTCGTCGAAGAGAATTTTCTTGATAATATCAATATTATGTATTAGTGTTCAGAGAATAACTATTAATTTCAAATATAAACAATCAATAATCTATTAACAAATATTCTATACTATGCATGAAAAGATCAATATGATCTTTGAGAAAATATCTAACAATGAATTCTATAAACAAGAATCGAAAGTTACTTTCATTTATGTTTGATTTAGAATATTTAATATTGATACTATCTTCTAAGAATAAATGTTCAACAAATTACTATATGTTGTTTTATTTTATTATTATTTATTGTTTTTGAAGAAAAATGTTACATCAAGAGTATGAATGATTTTGGTAATTTTCAATACAAGATCTAACAAGGGAAGGTCTTCTAAATGCTCAAACCGTTTAGACTTCATTGTGTTCTTGACCGAAGCGCCCATAAAGTAATCATATCTCGAAAATGAAGGCACACGGAATAAATCTTTTTGAGGTTTACTAGTGGTCAAAAGATAGAACCTAAACGGCTTGAATATTTTAGGATCTTCTCACATAGGTATAATTATTTACGAGTGACTTCATAAAGTAAGAAACCAAAGTCTTATTTTATGATTTATGTTAAATAATGCAATATGTGAATTTTAATATTTGATTAAATTATATTTCTATCTGTTATTCATGGAACATTTCCATGTATACCGATAATGAAAAAGTTTTTATTTATGAATACTTTTTATTCAAAGTATTTTCAATACCAAAACATAATTTAATCGATAATTCAACAGTAACAAATACAAATAACAACAAATAATGATTAAAAATGAGCTTTTTTTTTCTTTTTCTTTGGTGGTTTTTTCGTATCTTCGTCACTATCACTATCATCATCGCTATCACTATCATCATCATCATCATCATCATTTGAATCTTGTTGTTGATCATCTAATTCTTCTTGTTCATTACCTTCTAAATCAGCAAAAAATGCATTATCTTCTCGTTTTCCACTTTTCTTTTTCTTCTTATTTAATATTATTTTTAATTCTTTAGAATCAATTAATTGTAAAGTTTCTGGTGATGTTGATGAACCAATAAGATAATCTGTATTACATGATGTAGATAATGTTTGAGTTGGCATTGTACATGTACGACCAGTAACAGATATTATTCGATGAGGATAAAGACTAAGAGCACTAAAAATAATAATCAAATATTCTAAATATGAATAAAAATTCATTTAAATATATCAAACCGAATTTTTCCATCTTCACAACCGGTAACAATCGATGATTGATCAAGAGTTACAAGACATTCAATTCCACCTGGATGACCAGGAAATCGATCAGACATATTACCAAATTCTTTCCAATTAAAAAAATATAAAACACCTTCCATTGTGCTACATACAACTTTAGTACCATCCTAATTAAAATTAAAAAAATCGTTTTTTTTTTTAAATTTTTATTTCATCAAATAATAAACATTATTTTACTTTAATAATTTGACAACCTGTTAAATCACTATCCATTAATTCTGATTGTATTTGTAATTTTTTCTTTCGAACATTATAAACCGTCAATGTTCCTTCACCACTAGAAGAGATTTTTCAAGATTTTTAAAAGAAAAAAGTTTTTTTTATGAATACCTCGTTGTAAGTAATGTTCGTCGATCATTTGCACAAGTTAAATCACTAATATAATCATCGCAATCATGAAATTCGGCTAATGATTTTTTTTGTCTATAATCCCATAACTTTATTTTTGTATTTAGATTTTATTTCAAATAAATTCAAAGTTTTTCAATATTTACTTTAACACAACCATCATCATCACCAGTTGCTAATACACAATTATCAACAATACATAAACAATTTATCGGAGAACTATATAAATATAAAAGTATTTTTAGAAGAAAAATATTCGATAAAAAAATGAAATAAAATACTCATGTGCTCGTGTATATTTTGTAATCATTTTTCCTGTTTCTATTGATCGTAGTTTAATAGATTTATCTTTTGATACAGTTATAATCGATTGACCATCCGGTGTTAATTCAATAGACCGAACTGATTTCTTATGAACTTTCATTGAACGTTCATTAGTCATAGATTGTTCAGTTTCATCATCATTTATTTTGATCCTATGGAAAAAAAGATTCACAAAATATTCATGAGAAAAACGAAAGAGTTTTATTCAAACCAATGAAGATGTCCTGATATAGCACCGGCTAAGAAAAGATTTGGAATAGTAGGATGAAATTGAGAACACATAATTTCAGATGGAAATTCAATTTCTGGACCATTATCAAATATTGATGTTGCAACCATGATGAAAAATGAGAATTAGAATTAGATGAGTGAGTGAACAACTTATTTCAATAATCGAACATTTACTGGAGAGACAAGTAAACTGATGAAAAATGATCTAAATTGCCTTTATATTTAATATGCAAACAGATGTCGCTAATTATCAAGCTGATATATTCGATGACACATACAAAATAAAACTTCAAAATATTTCATTAGGTGATTTATTTACGGATTTGGTATGTTCGTTTTTCAAGTTATGAAAAAAACCGCAGAATGGTCTATTACGTAAATAAACTATTTTTATAAAATTCTTCTACCTTTATCATATAAGAAAATAAATAAAAATTTCTTTAAATATAGATTAATCATATTATTATGAATATTTATTTGTAGAACAAAATACATAGATGAAAGAGATTCTCAACTATAAAAAAAACTTTGTATCCATAGTACTTAAACAAGAGGTTATCATCACATATAAATACATGTACATATCATGGTGATTATCAATAGATAACGATGAAATATTCTCAATATTTTTTTTCTCCTTCATTCTCTCTCTCTCTCTCTTTTGTTTCTATCATAGATAACAACGGAAAAAAAGTGACAAACAACAAATTGAAAAAGCAGGAAATGCATATTTAAACGCTTGATTAATAAATGCAAAAATTAAGATGAAATGAATGTTTATATATGAAAAGAATAAGATTCTCTAATGATGAGATGCTGTTGTTGAAGTTGATGTACGTGAACTTGCAGATTTTTCAACAGTTGTTGCTGTTGTACCAATAACAGCAGTCGTACCAGCAACATGAGTTTCACCAGTAGCTTTAGCTTCAGTTCGAATAACTGTTGTTGATGTTGATGTTAATAAACGATTAGCATCTTCAGCTCCCAAACTAAAATTGAATACATAAATGTTTTTATTTGTTTCTTGTTTTGGCAAAAATTAAACTTACGCAGCAACTTCTTGAGTAATAGCATCAACTCTTGCATTAGCTTGTGCTTGAGCATCACGTAAAACACCCATTTTCAAACGATTAGCTTCTTCATTTAAATCATCAATACGTTTTCTTGCTTGTTCAAGAATCATTTCTTGACGTAAATTTAAATCTTTTTCAAGTACAGCTAAATTTTGTGCTTTAGCATTATCAAGTTCTTCAACATATGATTGTAATTTAATTTTATATTCTTCTTCAATAGCAGCTGAACGTACATTAGCATCAGCTAAAAGATTTGCTTGTTGAGCTTGAGTTTCATTAACAACTTTTGCAATAGCCAATGATACTTCTTCAGAAATTTGTTCAGTACGATGACGAGAATATTCATCAATTTGTTGATGAGTTGTACCTAAATTTAATATAAAAATAGTTTTTGAAAAGAAAAATAATTTTTATCGTTTTCTTACCGAGTTTGCTCATTAATGCAGACATTTTTTGTGTATTTTCCATGCTAACCTTTGATTGTGTTTCTGTACTAACAACTGATTTAACAGCTACATTTTCAGAAATAGCTGTATGAGCTACAGCTGAACCTGTGGTTGAAGTTGCTTCACGTTTAACGCTTGACATTTTATTATCGAAATAGAAATAGGATATTTAAGAATCTATAATAAAAACTAAATACTGTTAAAAATTTATAAATTAGCAAATGGATAAATAGAAATAGAATTGTTAGCTTACGTGTTTTTCTTTTTCTTCTTTCGAAAAGAAATCAATGAAAAGAAATGAATGCTCATGTAGAATATTCGCCTTTTTATAGGTCATTCTTTTGTTATCTATTTTACGATGGAAGCTTAACGCTATACTTGTTACACATCAAACACATCTTATCACACATTTTTGCTATGGCAATTTTTCACACACTCTCTCTTTCCCTCTTCCTCGCTTTCCTGCTGGTTTGATTCTCTATGAAATTTAATGTACATTTCAGAAATAACAATGCCCAAAGGAAATGAGAACAACAAGCACATCTTATCTTCTCATTGATTCATTGTTAAATTTGTCTAATCAATCAAATTTTAACGAGTATATGAATAATAACAATCGTTGTTCTTCGAGAAAATTCTATGTAAATAAGTCACGAGGTCAGACAGTATTTTTTTCGTTTACTGAGAAATTTCTTATATTTCTATAAAGAATAATAAACAGCTGTACCTATCTTCTAGGAAAATATCTATGATATCTTTTTTAGTCTCTTCAAATAGATAATAAAAGTCAATATGTCTTTTCTAATTTTACCTTTCATGATAAGAAGGGTAATAAAGTACATGAGAAAAGTTATGTTAAATTCGAATATACCAGCCTTTATATCATTGGTACATGAACTCAAAACCTAAAATTGCAAATGAAAAGCCAACACATTGTTAAATGTCGTTGTCATTTTTATACTGGAAGCAAAGAGTACTTTTAGAAACAGAACTATTCTGATATGATTCAGAACATTCTAGACAAAATGAATCATTGTGATTTTCTTTTTTTTTCTTCTTTTTGTTGCATTATTTGATTACTTGTAAAAAGCCTTTATTCAATTTATTTTTTCTTTTTATTACCAAGCATATTGTCTGTCAAAAACAACCAATACCAAATTCATATACTTCTCTAAGTGTTTTATGCTGTGTATGAACTCTCACTTTTTCTCTTCTCTCTTCCTTTTAATTTCTTTCTTAACGGGCTAGTCATATATATCTACATAGATGAGAATAGAGCAGACATCGACGTGGCGTTTTTTTCATTCTCCTTAGAGAAAAAATAATAGTCGAGTGGGTATAGTCGACATTCATCCAGTCATTCTTATTTGTAATTCACATGATGAAGCTGCACATGACATACTAAATATTTTAATATAAAAATAACTGTACATATCCCAATGATGTTTATCATATAAACCCAGCTCTCTGTGGCAATA